AACTCGCTCACTTTTGCTTGACTTTGTGAAAGAAAAACATGTACCGGATATCGGAGAATGGTTTAATATAATTTTGTAATATTTTCGACGTTACCATCCTCTTTGTCTTTGATATGAGGTATGTAATTTTATACTTAAGGTAGATTAACTAGGTTTATTTCACTTTATATATTTGACGCGTTACAGTGATAACATATTTTGACAGATCACTTAAAAATTAGTCTTGACAAAACAGATACTTATTATTCAGTTAATATCAAAGAACAGAAGTCAAAAGAAACTAACGAGCTAAGCTAAATATAGATACTTAATATAATAATGTATTTAAAAAACGTTAGTATTATTTAAAATATTTCAATCATATTGTATATTAGACCTTCCTCAGAATGATAAGCTTAAGATAATATATAAATTAAAAACATATAGTCATATAAGTCGAAATAGTAAAGAAGCTATTGAAACTTGAAACGCAGTCGCTCGCAGACAAAAGAAAAGATCGGTTACATAAATACATACTATATAAATTCCATCTGCAAAGAGATTCATAAAGAGAGTCAGATTGTAAAAAAGAAAATAGTTATTAGATATATATTGATCATAATATCGTGCGCAATTTATTTCTAAGTAATGTGGGATTCGAAGTCAACGGAAAAGGAACGAGAAGGCGCGGACAGCGCCGCGGAAGAAGAAGGAGGAGGACGCCAGGGAGAGAGGACAGAGGTCAGACGTTCAGCACGATTGAGAGAACGCTGTAGCAGTGTCAAATAGACCCTATCTGAATTATTGTTTTAAAAGACGTGTCATTGTTTTTGTGAATCCCAATCCCACAGTAATATTTCCGCAAAATAGCAGCATTATGGAAAATACTTTGTTCAAAATCACTTTATTAATTTTATTACATATTTTATTCATCTCTCTAAAAAATTCAAACTTTCAACGGCTTATATAATTCTTTGATTTTTGCCTTCACAATAGCTAAGCCATAAGCATAAGGAACAAAGTTAATAAGTAATAACAAATCTTTTGAAAAACATTTTTGTCGAGTAATAATTTTGTTTATTATTACAACATGACCGCAAATCATTTAGACCTGCAGTGTGTGTTATAACAATATATAAAAATGAAGAGCTGGGTATGGCAATATTGCGTGAAAACTGCAGACAATCGGTCAGCAACTTGCGAATTATATGATACAGTGCTTCAAACACATAATTCTACAAGTACCTTATTAGAACATTAAAAAAAGTGCATTCTTTAACGCCACCACAAAGAAATGCAAAGCACACTCGTACAGAACAGTGAGTATTTTGCTATTAATATTTAATTTTCAATCTAATTAGAATTTTTATCTATATTACATATGTAAATGCATAATTTGCGTGTTTATCTCATTCGTAGATTACAAGATAGCGCGGATATAAATGGTTCAATTGAAGAATCT